TGATTTAATTTTAAAAAAAAGAAGAGAATATAAGGAGAGGGAGTATGAGATTTGGGGATGTCATATTTGGGGCACTGGGTAGACAATCATTCCACTAACTGACACAGGAAACACAGAAAGAAGAGAAAGTAAGGGAGTAAAGATATTGAGTTCAGTTAGATATTTCTTCCATGTAGAAATATCCAGTTTAATGCATGGATCTAGAAATGAACATTTTTTTTAAAATTTCAGATTAATATGAAGGTACAAACCATTAGGCTACATCGTTTGCATTTTTTAGGTAAAATCCAAGTTGTAGTTGAGCCCTTCACCCAGACAGTGTGCTATGCACCCTTACACTGTGCCCATTAGGGAACACACCAATTTTTCTCCTTCCTCCCCTCTCCCCCCGTTTGAATTTAACTGTTTTTTTCTTTTGTTTGGGCATGCAGTTGTTTAACTATTGGTTTCATATTAGTATGGAATACATTGTATACTTGATTTTCCATTCTTGTGATACTTTACTAAGGATAATGTTTTTCAATCCATCCAGGTTAACACAAAAGATGTAAAGTCACCATCTTTTTATGGCTGAATAGTATTCCACATACCAGTTTATTAATCCACTCGTGTTGATGGGCACTTGGGTTGATTCTTCATCTTGGCAATTGTGACTTGAGCTGTGATAAACATTCTAGTGCAAATGTCCTTATGGTAAAATGATTTTTTTTTTCTTTTGGGTAGATACCTAGTAACGGTATTGTGGGATCATATGGAAGGTTTACTTTTAGCTCTTTGAGGATTCTCAATAATTCTTTCCAAAGAGCCTGTATTAGTTTACAATCCCACAAGCAATGTAAACGTGTGCCCTTCTCTCCACATCCAAGCCAGCATCTGTAACTTTGGGATGTGGCCTATTCTCACTGGGGTTAGTTGACATCCCAAGGTTATTTTGATTTGCATTTCTCTGATGATTAGGGGGACATGTCAAGAAAAGCCATTTAGGCTCAGCACCTATAGCTCAAGTGGTAAGGCGCCAGCCACCTACATCAGAGCTGGAGGGTTCAAATCCAGCCCGGGCCTGCCAAACAACAATGACAACTACAACCAAAAATTAGCTGGGCCTTGTGGTGGGTGCCTGTAGTCCCAGCTACTTGGGAGGCTGAGGCAAGAGAATTGCTTAGCCCAGGAGTTGGAGGTTGCGATGAGCTGTGATACCACAGCACTCTACCTAGGGCAAAAGCTTGAGACTCTATCTCAAAAAGAAAAAGAAAAAGAAAATAAAGCCATATAACAAAGACAAGTGGTTCTCAAACTTTTGTATGTATCAAAATCAACTGATGGGTTCTACTTTAGAGCTTCCAGTTAAGGCTTGAGAATTTTCATTTCTAACAAGATACCAGCTGATACTGCTGGTCTGCGGACCACACTGAAAGGCTCAAGACCAGACAATATCACTAATGAAGGTGAAGACCTAGAATAGAAGGTGATCAAGAATAGTATTGAAGAATATAAACACTTAAGAGGCAGGTATAAAGGAGAAACCAGAAAAAAAAGGAAAAAGGAATTTTCAGAGAATGAGATGAGAATTGACAAAACTACAGTTAGCTAGAAGACTAAAAAAAAGTAAACAAATAAAGTCATTAGGAGGTCACTGAAAAGCTCAGTAAAAGCAGTCATGTAGAGGGAGAGGAAAGAAAAATACTGCAATGAGCTAAAAAAGTATCGACTACATGTGGGGAAATTTGGTTGTATAGAAGAGAGAGAATAGAAGCTTGAGAAGGCAGAACACCATGGGAAAGGTGATTCAAGATAAAAGACCTGAGCACATCTGTAGGCTAAAGGGAAAAGATGGGGAAAGGGAAGACACGGGAGATAGAAGAAAAGTTAAAATAACTGATGGAGATAGATCCTATGGGAGTTGGAATGGAATGGCATCCAGGGCACAGGTGCATTAGTCTTGGACAAAAGAGTCATCTCTTCTTCTGAGATAAAAGTGAAAGAAATTAAAAATGGACATTGTTAGAGGTAATCACAGACAGGCAGGGGAGGAGAAGCACGCTGAGAACGATGGTGTCCAGCACCTCTATTCTCTCTGTAGGCACGCCCTACAAGAAACAATAAAGGAATCTCTTCAGGTGGGAGGAAAATAATACCAGAGGAAACCCTGGATCCAAACCAAGAAGAGTGCTGGAAAGGTAAATTTACATAGGAAATTATACAAGGTATCATTCTCTTGTGTTTCATCTCTTTTTAAACATAATAGTTATGGAGTTTTATTAAAAAGTAAAACATGACAAAAAGAGCACATAGGAAAAGGGGGTGGTTATTCAAGTACGCTGATAAAATTTTCTTGTTCTGTATGAAAAATGGCCTATTATTGTTTGAAAGTAGATTGTGATGAAAAGATGTAAGCCGGAGATCAGGGCTCAAAGTGTGGCCTGGGAGGTCTTGAAGGAAACTCAGAAATTCCAGGCCCAGGCTAACAGAAGTACCAGAAGAATAGCCTCATGGCATATGTTAGCCTGATAAAGGCTTTAAGAAATCCTGTAGTGAACAAATATGTTTAACCTGATGTTTACCAAATTTAACTGACCACAGACGTCACTTTTCAAGATATACTTATGTTAATAAGTATAAAACTAGTGCTAGAAGTGTTTTGAAGTATGTTTTGAAAAATGCTACTAGTTTGAGAGATGTTGATGAGTATTAAAAGCTATCCCAATGGCCATATCAAAACAGATAACACAGGGTATCCATAAAGTTCATGTGCAACTTAAAATAGTTGGCTCCTTTATGGCCTCCCTGTATGTACCTTATGTATGGACGCTCATATCTAATAAAATAGATAAATTAGGGTAGCTATATATTTTGAGGGGAAAAAATCACAGGCTTTAGAATTAAACTGACCTGGGTTTAAATACTGACTTGCCCACTTGCTAGATATGAGACCTTGGACAAATTACTTATCTTGTGATAATTACATAACAAGCAATAAAAGACCTATAAGTTATTAGGAACATAGTAGGTACTCCCTAAATAGGTGATGATAATAATGGTGGTGACGGTGACAATGGTAATAAACAGGGTCCTTTAAAAGTATATTGCCCAGAATATTTTTAATGAAATACAGCTCTTAAAAGTTCCATCTTATTTGAGGAATATAGAGTGAATCTTCTCTATTAATGTTTTTAAAGAGTGGAATGAGGTGAGCTCGTTCTGATACTTAACTAAGAGGTTTACTTACTGAGATGCTAAAAAGATCTTACTACCCTACAATGTCACGGCACAGACTTCCAAGGAAAGCAATACTCCTTAAAGCCTTACTAATGAAAGGGTTGTGACAGTTTTAGTTTCTCTCTGAAATGTTGTTCAATACAACTCTAACAGTCCTACTGCATAATACTTATGCTAATGAATTCTTCCATTAATATTCACAAAAGAGGATTTGAACAGGTGGAAAGAAAGCAGTAGTCATTCCACGGAGTGAACATTAGATGATGTTTGTAGGGACAATAAAAGAATCTAGTTAGAATGATAAAGGAAAAAGTTGCACACATCTGTTGAAAATATCAAGTCCAATAGCACAGAAAGGGCTTGTAAGTAAGCGAGGCAGACTTTAAACTTGATTTGATCGATGAGAATAAACAACTATTAAGTTCATCAACTTCAGATGTATAGGGTATCCATAAAGTTCATGTGCACTTTAAAATAGCCAACTATTTCTGGACAGCTTGTATAATAAAACCATGTTTAAGGAAGAGTAGTCTGTTGGTGACATTTAATTTGCTTGAGTGGATGGCTAAAGTGAGACATTAGACTACGAAGGTGAGACGTGCTTTTATATAAATCTGTGAATGAACAAATCAATTGTGTTAAAGGGCAAATAGACAATGTTTGGTCATTTTCTAGTTGAGGAGTATGAAGGACCAGGTTGGTTCTATGATTCAAGGGTAAATAATGGAGAGAATGTTGGTGTTGGCACCAGGAAAACTGGGAGGGAGACCTAGAGAGGACACTTGCTCACGGGCATTCTAAAGGTCTACAAAAGTAAAAATGTTTGGTAGAAATTTTAGATATGAAATTCAATTATAGAGAACTTGCCTTAATATTTTATTTTACATAAATATACAAAAGTAATTTATATTAAATATGTAGTATATCCTGTAACATGTTGTTCCCCAAGAACAATTACTTCTTAAATTATGTTGGTCTAGGGCAGTGATTTTTCAACTGGTGTGCCATGAGAGGATTGGAGGTGCACCACAAAAATTTTTACAGATTATTTATTATTTTCAAAAGAAGCTTAAAGCACAGTTCAGTATATTGTTTTCTCTCTCTTTTTTTAATCAACATAATTTAAGTGTACATGGAAGTTTAAGTATAGGTTCAAGTGTGCCGTGAGATAAGACAGTTTGAAAAACACTGGTCTAGGCTATACTAAAATCCAATTTAATAACAACCATCCCTAAATCCAGTAGCAATGGGTTAAAATTACCTTATTAAATGTATTTCATACAGAAGTCCCTGTGAGCTTAAGTATCATAATTCCTATTTTATAGATAAGAAAAATATATATGGCAGATTTTAACGGGATCAGCAGAGGACTACTACATTTTAATGAACTGAACTGACTTAAGCGATCCTTAAATCTAATTTCTTCAGGAAATTGACAAAAGCAGCAAAAAAAAAAATAATAATAATAATAAGATAGCTGGTAAGCCTAAAGGAAATGATAAGCCAAATCTGAAACATCATATTTTGCTAACTTTAAGGTGGGTATGCTTGACTTTCAAACTAACAGCACAGCTTATGATATTAAGACATAGTTCTTCCAAAAATTTGTTCTACATCCTGAGATCAAGGAATGGAGCTTCCCCTGTGAACAACAACTTGGGGTTGGAGGAGGAATGGATGGGAAGGGAGGGTACACCCCTTAAAATCCAAGCTCTAAGTTTCCATTAGTACTTAGAGCATACAAAGATAAGATATTATCATGAAACAGTATATCTAATTCTTACCATTAATAACTGGTGTGTAAACAACAATCCCAACCAAGTTTGGGTCAGATACAGTTGTATCCAGAATAAGGCCCCCAATGCTGAAAGATATAAAATTATATCAATTAGTGAAAAGGAAAGGCAATGTACTTGAAGTTGTTCTGTACTTACAGATATTCCTACTTTTTAAAATAGTTACACATTTTAAATATAGAGTAAAAAGAAAAATAATCAAAGTGAAAATCAATATCAACAGGAAAATGTCGAAAATAAAACACAGCATAAGTTATAGCCTCAAATGTCAGGATGCTGATCTCTAAGATACGCTTCTTGTAAAAAGAAAAAGCACATCCCTTAAATGCATTAAAATGTCTATTTCTTGGGAATAAGACTGACAAGGGACTGATTGTCATTTTATATCCTTCTGTGCTTATTAATTTTTTTAAAAGTATATCGTGTATTGCTCTTAAAATTTAAAAAATAATTTTAAAAAGAATATCTTTTCATATCTGAAGTAAGCAAAGCATTAAATGGATGGTGTTTGTTGTGTTAAAACTAGACATAACTAGGATGTATCTTATTCATAAATTAAAATAAATAATTTCTGTTTTACCCACAGAAGAGGCTGATTTTGAAAATACAAAGAAGTCCAGAAAAATAATATACAGTTATATACTGGAAAACCATACACTCTCAATGTTCTGACAACATTTAGAGATTTTTAAAAAGTCTCCCAAACCATGATCAATTGATCAACTTCAGTCTCTTGGTCCATATATTATAAAATATTGCTAGTCACAGTATTTCCTGGGATCTTGCTGCCTAAACTTTCCATAAAAATGCAATCCACATTATAGCAAAATGAACCACATACTGTCACAGGATGGGACTAATTGTCAAATCAATTGCCAGATCAATTATTCTTACTACCTGACAATTAAGAAATTATTGAATTGTTATTATTTTGATTCTTTAGTAAAATAAATAAATTATGGCTTGATACACCGAAACTGTAGAAGTTCCCATTCAAAGTTACAGAGCCAAAAAATGGTTCTTAGAAATGTTTTAATATTTTAAGTCCTAATTTAAAAAAAAAAAA